TTACAAGCAAGCTGATGGCGGACTGATTCCCTGGCATATGCCAGCACTAATCTACCACCAAAACGAATGAACGAATGGCAAAGGCGTTCATTTTCTCGCCGACGAAATCCAACCTTCGGCATACAGCATTACAACAATGTTACCCACTCTGCTATGCATGCTATACAATAAAAAAAAACACAAAATGATCAGCATGAAACTATTATTAGTTCTTTCACCCATCCGTATAAATCAAGCGCTTGCCGCCGAGGGGATCCGAAGCAAGGTTCTGTTCCTTTTTCTTTACGCAGGCCTGCCCTTATGCATTTTGGTAGCATACTTTATCTAAGGATTATCCTTTTTAACAGAAGAAAGCCACCAAAATAATTACATCTTTAACTAGGGTATGCTGCTGCAGAGGACTGTGAAGGAGCCAATAATGCTTCCATACGGAGTATTAACTGAACAAGAACTAAAATATAAGACAAAATCCAAACAAGCACCGGAAACATCAAAAAATGAACTAGCATGCAGCAGCAGAGATCAGCAACGCAACACTTCATCGATCATTTTCGATCAATCAACCAAATCAGGAACTGAATCATTCGTAACATCCAACAGCGGCTGACCACTGGAAACATTTTTGTTTGGACTATCCCGCGCCAATTCACCAACAACCGCTTCGCCTTCTTCCACTCCATCTGCAAAACAAGTTCTTTTGTTCAGTGTAACTTGATATCTATTTTCAGCTTTAAGCTGAAGATACGGGCCCGCCAGCAAGAAAACCGGTCAATGACACATGCCAGAGAGTCAGAAATGCTTTCGCTTTATATATTAAGGAAGCTTCGCAGAAGGACCTCCACAGCAGCACTACCAACGGAACAGTGGCTGCCTGCTGTAGGTAAAGTTCATCCACACGAGTTACTTCTCTATTTCACGAAGAGTAAAACACAGCGATGGATTCCTACAACAAAAGACAGTCATAAAATCCGTCACCAAAAATAATATAAATTGACTTGGCGCAGAATCTGCTGGAACTCTTGAACTCTTGCTCAACAAAACATACAGTGTTAGATGATCCACGTTTCGTAAAGAGCAATCCAGAAACCTGATGAATGGAAAGGGTGGTATGACACATACATTGGAACAATTCCAATCCACAACTCTACCTACCAGAATAAACATCTTGGCTTCTCAGACATCCATAGCTGGCAGGAATAAACAAAGTATGTCTTCAAAGTTCGGATCGAAGAGCCAAATGCATGCGGACGCTATGTTTCATTTCAAAACTGGCCGGAGCTGATGGAAGTTAATTACACCAACAAGTCTGGAACCAAAACTCTGCAGAGGTGTTACCTTGTGCATCGCCTGCGGCTCCCAAATTATTCTTCTCATCTTTCAGTTGATCATTGCTTCCACAGACCTCAACGCTGTCTTCGTTTTCCCCCTCCATCACTTCACCATCAACTATGTTTTCTTCGCCTTTGCGCCACTTAATTGCAAAAGTAGTCACGCGAACATCGTCTGTGCACACCGTTCGTTGCAGCTTTAATCAAAAAGTTCATTATTGGAATAAAGAAAAAACACGGTTCGACGATGCAAAGAATGAAATCAGGTCTTTTTCCGGCAAAAAAACACCCACTTTATCCAAAAGAGGAGTTGCAGGAGGCTCCTCCTGGAGCTCGGGCGTCGTGTATTCTGTAGCAACAAACCATCCAATATTGATGAACTCCTGCTCCATGTATCTGCATTTTAGCAGCAGTACTGTAACACCGACAATCTCACTTTCGGGAATTTTGGACGGGTCTGGACCATCAGCCTGAAAATAATACGAATACACTTTAAGGAATGTACAAGATTTCATGTGCCGGAAAATTTCTCTCTAGTTCCATAAAAAGAGTTTTTACACAAAATTAATACAAAAATATTCCTGCAAATTATTTTTCGCAGAATTTGTTCTACAAAATTAATATTTTCACTTCCGCAGAATTTTCGAATTA